CAGGAAAGCACCTTGGATACCTGCATACATTTTATTGTTTTTGCATCGATTGCTCACATGGAATCTCCTTTTGAAAAATCATTATTTGTTTCATCTAGAGTTGCCCTTGCAGAGAGTGACCATCGAGGGCCTAAAAAGGGCTCTTAGTGACCCCTAATTACCCAGTGCGGCTGGAGGCCATCTTAACTTCTGTATTGGGAGCAATTAATGGACCACAAGAAGAGCTTGACCCAGGCAAAGCAGGTTAATCTGTCAGCTAAAAACACATTTTTCAATGCATACAAAATATATTGTAACATAATACAATATACTATTCAAAAGTTTGGGGTCAGTAAGAATTCATACTTTTATTCAACTATGACGCATTAAATTAAAGGGGTCATAGGATGCTACATGCACTTTTACAAGTTGTTTGAACTAGTAACAGTAAATAATTTTACACTACTAAAAAATACATATTTCAAATACTGTAAATGTTGTATTTTACGTTCTATTCATCACAGGTTTCCACAAAAATATTAAACAGCACAACTGTTTTTAACATTGATAATAAAAAGGAATGTTTTTGAACCATTTTAAAGCATTAATTAAATAAGGTAGAAAATAAATAAATAATAGTGTATTAATAGTGTAAAATTACTCAAAAAGTGATAGCTAATTCCTTCTTTGCTCAGGTCAACATAGTAAGTGATGCAAATTGAAGGCAGATCCTCAGGACCTGCAGGCTCTCATTGTCTCAGCGCTTGATGACCCAGTGAAGAGAGTTCAGATGGCTGCTGCAGTGTGCCAGTATGCCATGAGGACATCTAACGCTCGCACCAGAGACATACTACGAAGCACTTTGAAGCAAGGTCTGTGGAAGGATACCAATGCCTGAAACCAAAAAATGTCAACTAAAATATCTTAAATTACTAACAAACATTAATGTCACAGGTAAAGCCGTCTGTTCTACTCAGATGTTGACTCTAAATGACCATCATATGTTATGACTCAGACCCTTCTGGCACAGGTGCAGACAGCTGGGTGGCGGCACAGTGCTTGGCGATAGACAGTGATGCGAGTCAAGCTGTCATACAGAGACTCCTGTCACAGCACTTTCTCAGAGATGCTCCTTCAGATCACGAGCAGTCTGTGATGCTTCTCTCCAACATTAGCAGCAAGACTGAGTGACTCTCAGTAGTTTTAAGGAAAAGATCATTTATGCATGCACGAGGTAAACTAGTTTATCTTATTCACATAAAATCATTTTTCATACACCACTGTTTAGAAGTTGGGGTTTGTAAGATTTAGTTTTTTAAAAGAAGTCTCTTATGCTGACCAAGGCCGCATTTATTTGATCAAAAATATAGTAAAAACTACAATATTGAAATATTATTACACTTTAAACTTACTTTTTAATATATTTGAATCAATTTTGAAATGTAATTTATTTCTGTGATAGCAAGGCTGAATTGTCAGCAGTCATTACTCCAGTCTTCAGTGTCACATGATCCTTCAGAGATCATTCTAATATGCTGATATAGTGCTCAATAAATGTGTTTTATTATCAGTGTTGCCAATTAATATTTTTGTGGAAACCATGATTTTTTTGAGAATTCTTGGATGAATACAAAGTTTAAAAGAACAGCATTTATTTGAAATAGAAAAAAATTGTGCCATTATAAATGTCCTAACTGTTTGATCAATTTAATGCATCCTTTTTACTCAAACTTTTGCATGGTGTTTCCCATCCAGACACTAGTGCGCTCTCTTCTGGCACAAGAGTTAAACAGTGCTAACTGGAGAACACGAGTTCAGGCCTGTACTAGCATTGCACAACTCAGAAGTCCACTAAACAAGGTATCATGTAATTCCTCAGCAAATTTCAGACAACTGTCTATATATCTAATATCTCTAATGGTTGTAGAAAATACTATTGCTTTTCATGAAGGATCTTTGCAACAAACTGATATACATGATGTGGAACGACTGGAGCGGTGCCGTTCGTCACGCTGCAGCACTGGCTCTGAGTAAAATGGATGCGGCCAGAGAGATGCACAGTGAGCTGAGGTGACTATCTCTACCCAACATACATATCAGAGGGTTTGGATTTAGTTCATTCTTAACACGCAATATCTCCACAGTGCGAAGCTGGAGGAGGGTCCAACTGCTTGGCAGGTGGAAGCGCTGATTTTCATTGGTCAGCTCAATATAATGACACCCAAGCTACTGCCTACTTTTCTGCAGTGCTTTAATGATGACTTTGTGGCTGTGCGCAAACAAGCTTGCTTGACTGCAGCATCTCTAATGATGGATGACCAGTTGGTGAGGAAGTAAAGCACAATAGATCTTTGATGGCATACGGACAATAAAAGACTGTGAAAAAGAAATTGAGGGTTCACTCAAATGACCACATAAAACATGTTCACAGGTCCTGGATCAGCTAATTAACCTGATGCAGAATGATCCATTGTGGGAGATGAAAGTGGAAGCTATTAATGGTAAGTGTCAAAATAAATTAAAGGAAGTGAAATTAAAAAATTGCTGAAAATTGATTTACTCTCAGGCCATCCATGATGTAGATGAGTTTGTTTCTTCATCGTGACAGAGACATTTAGCATTACATCACTTGCTCACCAGTGGATCTTCTGCAGTGAATGGGTGCCGTCAGAATGAGTCCAAACTGCTGATAAAAACATCACAATAATCCACAAATAATCCACATGGTATCCAGCGAAAATATGAGTCCGCTATTTATAATACTGCTTTCTCCAGTGAAAACATCGTCTCAGCTGAATCAGGAGAGGAATATGCATAGATCAAGCACCGTTTACAAGCAAAAACAGTCCAAAGCAGTTCTAAACAAATGTCAATGGATTTTGATGTGAGAAGACAACAGGGGACTGTAGGAGATGATATTATGGATTATGACCAAGTATTTTCACCAGAAGTGATGGTTTAAAGGAATAGTTCACCCAGAAATGAAAATTCTGTCATTAATTACTCACCCTCATGTCATTCCAAACCCGTAAGACCTTCGTTCATTTTCGGAAAACAAATTAAGATATTTTTGATGAAATGTGAGAGCTCTCAGACCCTGCATAGACAGCAACGCAACTGTAATGTTCCCAAGTCCAGAAACGTAGTAAGGACATCGGTAAAACAGTCCATGTGACATCAGTGGCTCAACTTCAGTTTTGCGAAGCTACAAGAATACTTTTTGAGCACAAAGAAAACAAAAATAACAATTTATTTAACAATTCTTCTCCCCCGAGTTACGTCTTCCGCCATTTTGGAGAGTACCCAAGAGCGTAATTTACGTAATCAGCGTTGTTTACGTTTGGGGGAGAAAGCACACACATGAACGCAATCTGCGTAATCAGCCTTGTTTACACTTAGGACAAAGCGATGGCTTGCGTATGCATTGTGATACTCTCTAAAATGGCGGAAGACGTAACTCGGGGGAGAAGAATTGTTGAAAAAATTATGTTATTTTTGTTTTCTTTGCACTCAAAAATTATTCTCGTAGCTTCGCAAAACTGAAGTTGATGTCCTTACTACGTTTCTGGACCTGGGAACATTACAGTTGCGTTGCTGTCTATGCAAGGTCCGAGAGCTCTCACATTTCATCAAAAATATCTTAATTTGTGTTCCCGAAGATGAACGAAGGTCTTACGGGTTTGGAACGACATGAGGGTGAGTAATTAATGACAGAATTTTCATTTTTGGGTGAACTATCCCTTTAAGTTATTTTTGATGAAATCCAAGAGCTTTCACTGTAGTCGTGTGGATTACTTGTGGATTATTGTGATGTTTTTATTACCCGTTTGACTCTCATTCTGACGGCACCCATTCACTGCAGAGGATCCAATGGTGAACAAGTGACGCAATGCTAAATTTCTCCAAATCTGTTCTGATGGAGAAACAAACTCATCTACAGCATGGATGAGTAAATTTCAACAAACATACATTTTTGGGTGAGCTATTTCTTTAATCAGTTAATTTCCTGCCATTTTGTGTCTAATAATTAATGTTACTATTTTTTTATTGCATTAAGGAATTATTATTATATAAATTAAGCTTTAGGGAAAATAGGTTGGACAAACCCAGCTCTCCAGGAGTTGCTGATGTGGGCTGTACATCATGAGGAGGAGCTCAGTGTGCGCATTGCTGCCTGTAAGGCCCTGAGTACTTTAGGTGCAAAGGGTCCAGAATTACAGCATTTTTTTCTACAGGAGCGTGATGCACTGGAACCCAACACTGAGGTGCAGAGGTGTGTACTTGGATTAGGCCACAATCATTATAAGTAAAACATGAAAATCATTAAAGTAAAATAGTTTTTTGAATGTTACTTTAACCATATTTCTTACTAAGGCACATTGGAAGTCTTCTGAAAAAGCATGGATACAGTCTGAAGGGAAACGAAAGCAAGATTCATGAGATAAAGCTCCAGGTTATTTCCCGTTTATTTTGATTTTATGTTTTTTTTTTTATGTATTAATAATAATTTATTCATTTAAATACTTTTAAGTCATCCTGTGGCCCACTTCTCTAGAAATGTCTGAACATCACACTAACTGCCAGTTACTCTTTCTCTCTTGTTCTGTAGGTGGAGCTGTTGTGTGCAAAACACATCATTACACAGAAAGTGCTCTTAATGGAAGAGATGAGAAAGCAGCAAGAGCAAAAATTATTGTGCTGAATTTATGGTTTAATTTGTCATACTATATCAAAAATTATAAAGCCAGAATCAAATCTTTTAAGTTGTTCCACCTAAAATCATCCACTGCAGTTGCTGATGATCAAGCAAGCAGGCTAATAACGTCCAAAATTGTTTTGATGAATCCGGTATATAGCTGTTCACTACTTTTTTTCACACTGATGTTATATTAAGGTATCAGCAAAAGGAAAGTATATGTAGTGCACAAATCATAAAATACATAATGCTGGTTACCAGCAATGATACCAGATTTTGGTTTCAAATGTGGAACATTTATTTATTATTATTTAACATAAAAATACAAAAGAAAAAAACTCACATAAAATGAAACCTGTCTCAATATTTACATATTGCTGCAGTATATACACATGTAATCCATGAATTAAAACAAATCAAATCGGTTTTCTCTAATGTGCCTGTGTCAGCAACCAGTAGGTACACAAAATAGAGACAATATGAAACAAAACATGAATGTTATATAATTTGAAGATACAGTATACAAACTGTAAAAGTAGTCATTGATCTTTAGTTATTTTTTATTCATTTAATATTCACTAGTATCCTGAACAAATGGTAGGTGTCATTTTATATTTGAATATTATGAAATTCTTTATCAACTGGACATGTCTTTAATTTTGGTGTGCAGATGGCCTCGTCGCTTAAGAACTTGCTTGTACAGGTTTTCGACTTCAGTGCCCTGAGCCAGCAGTTGAGTTATGGCACTGTTCTGATGGGGAGGCGTAACAGAAATAACCGTTAGAATATGCATTTACATTATAAACATGACAGGTTTGCTAGAATAAAGGCAAATCACATATAGACACTGGTTTCAAAACACATACTTATATGAACATTTAACCACCACATGTCTATGTTTTTAGTTCTATCGAGCATATTCTTGTTGTTTAATCAAAACACATATATACTGTATATATACACACTTACCAAATTACTCAGATAACTGTCAGTTTTTGGAATTGCTTGAACCATCTTAATTTTCACTTCCAAGTTCTGAATGAACTCCACCACCATCCCCATAAGCTCTACCACATATCTGTACATACAGTCATTAATACTGTTAGCAATTCAATACAAAAATACAATTTAAAACAAAAAAAAAACGAAACCCATTTTCTTTGAGTGGCACATTAAATGCATCTGACCTGTGAAGATCAGCATGAATGGGCAGGTTCTGCTGACGCAGTGGCTTTGTGAGTCTCTCTCGTAGGACTGTGTTCTCGCAACACTTCCTGAAGGTGGGATGTGAACTGTTGCAAGGAAGCATACCTTTGACCTTACAACTAAACAGTCATTAGTAAAATTTGAGTCTTCTAGTATAACAATTTTGTGAACTTTATATTTTATAATATAATAGTTACAAATATGGGAGGGGATTAAAAATATTATTATATTATATTATCCCACAACACTTATATTTCCCCGAGACATCTTGCGAACTCTCAGTAATTTACTTTGCTTGTTGCTCTAAGTTGCTATGTAATAATCATATAAATGCTACACTGACTGTTGCTGTGCGAGTTGTGTTTTCAAGGCGTCCAGTATTAACTTATTTATCGTTCTTGTATGAGATCTCCCCGATCTGTCTGATTTTGATAAACAAAACTTCTGTTGTGTTTCGATTTCAATCTACCGCCTCTTTCTTTCTTGAACACTAGCACAGCTAACGTAACGCAAACGTATTAGAAGCGTAGATATCGTAAATACATGCATATATTCGCACAGTTCTCAACGTGAACCTGAATAATAAGCATATGATATACAGATCATAGAAAGTGTAGCGTGACGCGCAATGCAACTTCCTACGTTACGTTTAGCTAAATCCTCAGGTCCGCAGATTCACAAATAACCACAAAGATCAATTCTGCACTATAAATCAGTTATAACCAAACAACAAAGTATATATCAATTGTTTATGACGGTCTTCTATGCATGATTTAAATGATTTCTGAATGTAGAATTTGTTGAATCAGCAGGCGTAAAAACGTAGATCACTTACTTCAACAGCTGCGCGCCATCGCTGTTTACAAAGGACTGCGCAGCGAATCTCTCATTAAATAACGAAATAAATGCATTAAATAAAAAAGAAACAAACGTTTCTGCAAAGTTAGGTAAAGTAGTTTAGCGAATCGGTCGAAATTATATCATATTCGCGAACAGTTTGATGAATCGTGATGCGGTAAGAAGCGGGTCACACAATGACAACAGTCCTCCAGCGTAACAAACCCCAGATGTCACTGTGCTAGATTCATACTAGGTCCGTCTGAAACGATTTCTCCAGTGCAGCTTGCGTTTACATTAAGATACAGCCAGAGAAATGTCGGCTGCGGCGCGTGTAGCGGCGCCCGTGATGCTGTCCCGGTTCCGCGGCGCTCTGGTCGGCTCGGTGTTGGGCGACTGTATAGGCGGCGAGTTTGAGGGCGCCGTGGATGTGCCTTTAGATCGAGTCCTTCAGCATCTCAGCGCTCTGGAGGATGAAACACGGGGCGATGGTGAGTATTTCCATATTTTACGATTATACAATGAACATATTTACTTGCGTTTGTATATGTAATCTTTGAGATTACTACGGTATTCCCATATCAGAAGGCCATATCAGTCTTACTGAAAATAAATATCACACTTTTGCTTGTCCTAAAGTCTTTGTTAACCCTCTGGTATTCCTCATTTAGGGGTCACATTTGTGATCCTTCTCAGTAACATTTTTCATGACATGAATGTACTATATTTTGTTCCAATAATATTTATACTGTCATATTTTGAGGGGATTTCATGGTACCAGGCAGTATTCACCTCTAAATTATGCACGATTTTTGCTATATAAAAAGAATAAATTTTTGACTGTGAATTAAATTGTTTCTTAATTACACATCTCATTGACATTTTTCCCAGGAATTCTTCAGTACAGTGATGACACAGCCATGATGCGATGCGTTGCAGATTCACTCCTCACCAGGATGGCGTTTGATGAACGAGACATGGCTCGAAGGTATGTTATCATTGGAAATGGCTAAAAGAGTCCTTTTAAGCAAGTATTGGATTTTCCTGATCATCTTACTTGATTCCAGATTTGCAAAGGAGTATAACCTTGCTCCGGGGCGAGGTTACGGCTCAGGTGTCATACAGGTACTGCGGAAGCTTGCGTCGCCCCATCTGAAGGACGTCTTCCAGCCGGCACAGGCTCAGTTTGGAGGCCGCGGTTCTTTCGGGAATGGAGGTGCCATGAGAGCGGCACCCTTTGCCCTGGCCTTCAAAAGTCGTGCTGATGTCTGCAGGGTAAATAGTCATCTGATTGTCGAATCTAAGCTAGTAGCATTCTGCACTTCAAACATTTTTGACATTTTGAATTGCTCATAAAAAGAGTGGAAGTGCAGAAAAACAATAGCTTTAGACTTTATATAATGAGGATTCATATAAATGGTTCTCAACCTGGGGGCCTCAAGATGGCTAAACATCTTTAAAGTAATCAATTATTATTACTATATTAAATCAATAATTAACTCAAATCTATATAAGAATGCTAAAAACACATAAATCAACATGTAAAGTGAATCATAATTCTTTCTTAATCATTTTTACTGAAGAACATACAGTTCTCGAATTTTTTATTTTGTTATGCTGGTTGAAAGTCTCTTCACATCCCGAGAGCAATCAATAAGTTAAGTGGTCTATATGTAGTGGTCTAACTTTGGAAGGCGTAGGACCATAAAATGTTCGACCAATCGGATTATTCGGTCCGGACATTATGATAACAGTTAACAAATGTATTTGCATTCCTCCATGCACCCTGTTCACGCAGACATGATATGTCATCAGCACGTTCGATTATGCTGTTGCAGACCGAGCGAGAATGTAAGGCGTTATTATTGTAATATTATGTGCTTCGTCTCACTGGTGAATGAGACATGAGATAATCTGACAGCGTTGCATTCAGTTCTCCACCAACGCCATCTCTCATTGTGTCGCTGGTGAGTCTTTGGTCTACCTGTGCACGTTCATGTGTTTTGGTGGAGGCATGATTATGCAGGAAAGGTGGGATCTTGCTTTCAAAGCTATCTTGCTATTGCTAGCCTTTCCAAAATCGCCCACCCTACCTTTAATTTGAAAGGTTAATTTGGACTTTCCCAGGCTAACATTCTGTCCTTCCATTTACTTTTGGCAGTACTCTCGGCTTGGTGCAATGTTAACACACTCATGCTCTTTGGGCTACAATGGGGCAGCGTTGCAGGCCCTTGCTGTCCATCTGTCTCTCCAAGGCGCTTTGGCTCTGCCAAAAGAATTCATCAACAAACTGATATCAGAAATGGAGGAGATGGAAATAGATGAAACAGCCCAGCTTGATGCTAAAGCGTAAGTGAACTCATGGAAAGAACAAATTTCAGCTGTATGTTTCTTAAATGGGTAGTTTACTCAAAAATGAAAAGTATGTCATCATTTACTCACCCTTACGTTGTTCCAAACCTGAATGACTTTCTTTCTTCAGTAGAACTTAAAAGAAGATATTTTGATGAATGTTTAAACTGTTTGTTGTTGTTGTTTGTCCATGCAGTGTTGTTATCATTAACTAAAACTATTAAAACTAATCAAAGTTATTTTCGGTTTTTAAAATAAAGCTACTTGAAAATTTGAAAATAGTATGAAAAATTAAGAACTATGAACTAAGAATTAGTAATTACTACTTTTAGTACTTGAATTACTAAAACTGAAATGAAAAATAAATTAAAGCTAAATAATAAAAATAAATAGGCCCACAACAAAATTAACAAAAAAAACAATTTAAAAACATAATTTCCAAAAACTTAAACTAAAATTAAAATAAAAACTGAAAATATAAACATTTATTCAAAATATTAATAAATCAAATACTATGATGGTATATAAATAAAACTAATATAACACTGTCCAAATGACATTGGACCCCACTGACTTTCATTTTATGGACAAAAAATTTTTTTTACAAAATGTCTTCTATTGAGTTCCACAGAAGATAAAACAGGTTTGAAGCAACAGTAAATTCTGAAAGAAATTTTATTTTTAGATGAACTGTCTGTTTTATTTCACTATGTTTTATTCCACAGACTCAATTTATCAGATTTCCCATATTGCTCACGATTGCACAGAGTGAAAGAACTTATGGACAGAAACAGTGTGAGCATTGAGGAGGTCATATCTGAACTGGGTTAGTATCGATTACTATAATGGCATCGCTGCCTTGCAGTCCGTGCCCACCGCTATCTTCTGCGTGCTGCATTGTTTGGAGCCCCGGGATGGGCTGCCAGAGCGATTCGGAGGACTGGAGAGGACAATAGCCTACAGCTTGGCTCTGGGTGGTGACACTGACACCATTGCTTGCATGGCAGGGGCAATCGCAGGGGCACATTATGGCATTGACTCCATTCCTCAGAGCTGGCAGAAGAGCTGCGAAGGGGTGGAGGAGGCAGATGATTTAGCGAGACGTTTGTATGATCTTTACTGCCTTCCACAGTTTGAAGAGGACAGGGGGACATCAAGCTGTGAGAACAATCAACCGCACACACACGCCAGTGATCAACACACTGCAAAAGCTGACTGACCCACTACATGGCCATATGCAACATGCAGCCACACATAAGTGAAACTTCACCTGGCACACAGTGTCAAATGCACTTGCTAATATACCATCATCTATGTTTATAAAAATGTGAAACTTGTGCAAAATGTTTACAATAAAAATAACAAAATGGTACCATTTGATTGGTAATGATCTTGTGTTTTGTCCTTTCTTTACTTCGCATTTAACACTGTTCTGAAAACTATATACAGTGGGGTTTTGAAGTTCACTAGTCAACATGTCTCTCTTTTTTGTGCATTTTAATTTAGTACTAATTTAATTTTTTTAATTACAATAAAATATTCCATGTTTTGAACCACAGAAACATTAATGAATACAACAGGTAAAAATAAAAGAAATATGTTGCAAACATTTCTTTTTAATACATGTGTACATGATTTGATCATTCGTCATTAGACACTTTTCTCATTATTGTAGCTTAATATTTGTTAAAATCTTATGCTCTTAGCCCAGTGTGACATCATAAAATAATTCTACACAAAAAGAGTTTTAGAATGTTGGATAGGACTATAAAGGCGAGAAATTCACTTGTTCACTTTGTGGCGAGTTAAGGAGTAGTTATCATCGATGGTGTTTACAGCTGTTGATAACGTTTTTATCGTGTGGTGAATATGGGACAGCGACTTTCCCGGAGAGAAAAGGTGGAGGAGGGAGGTCAATCCCCGCACACCAGTCACCCACCGACCACAAGGCGGAGGTTCATCCCTCATCCTGACGAGACGCCTGTGGGTATCGGCGAGGGTGAAGGCGGTCAGGAGCAGAAAGGGCGAGAGAAAACAAAGAAAAAGAGGCTGAAAAGAGGAGGTTCATGAGGCTTGCCTCCTTTTTCTGTTGTTTGTCTCGGCCCAAATCCACCAGAGCTCAGGATGAGCAGGTGGAGCAGGGTGAGGTGTCCCAGGACGCTGCTGCCGGACCATCCAGGAGGTGTTCTGATGGTAAATGACATGTTTCATCACCAAAGCTCTTTACAAAAGTCTCTTAATCATTTACACACAATAATAACAAATACAAAACCCATTACTCAGCAAAAAATGTCTGTCTTATACTTTATTTGTCGTAATATAGTTAGATGAAATAGTATAATTCATTTTATATAATATGGTAGTATAGTATAATATTAACTTTTCAAACTAGTCTAAAGTACCCCTAAATGAAGAATATGATATATTATTTTGGTTGATATTCCTCTTTTTCGATCGGACTTCTCTACAGGACATTGTCTTTACTGTGAAGGACAATGATCATCAGGAGCCTCCTTCCAGTAGTCCTGAAGTCTACGCCAATGCTGAAGACCAGCAAATGAAGGACGATGAGCCTCAAGATCAGGACAGTCCAGTTAGTCCGTCAGCAGGTGCGAGTGCATCACATCTGCTGAGACAAGGACGGCCTTCCGGTAGCTGTGAAATTTATAGCCAAGACGGAGAATGTGCAGTACATCAGCCTTGTAAGTAGATTGTGCTCCCTGTGTCATCTCCCCTCAGTCACTGTTTGCATTTTTAACATTTTTAAATATTTCAGTAGACTAATTCCTTATTTGAGAATCCACTTATATTCTAACCATCATAAAAACTGTCCTTCTAGCCTGACCATCCCAGACCAGTACCTCTAGAGGTGGCCCTAACAGTCATGGCCAATCAAGGCCCTAACTGTTGCCACATCATAGAGTTGCTGGACTGGCAGGACCATCTAGACCAGTATATCATGGTCCTAGAGCGGCCCTCACCCTGCATCGACATGCACCTCTTTTGGCAGTATCACGGCGACCTCTTTAGTGAGGAGTTAGCGTGTCATTTCATGTGGCAGGTGATTGACGCTGCTGCCGTGTGCTGTTCCCGGGGGGTGGACATCAAAATGCCAAATCTCCTCGTCAACACGAAGACCCTGGAGGTTAAATTGATTGATTTCTGGTGTGAGGACCTCCTGAAAAGCTCTTCTTACAACACCTACTCTGGTATGTGACATCATGATATTAATGTTGACTACAATTAAATGGCATTTCAGTCAGAGTATCCTGTGGAAAACTCTTGCCATCAGGGACAGCGATGTACTGCCCTCCTGAGTACTTTGGGAAGGGCGAGTACCACGGGAAGGAGGCAACGGTGTGGTCACTGGACATGCTGCTGTTCACCATGATCACCAGCCTTTTCCCGGACAGCAGCGATATCAGCTTGATGGACGTTGATGTCTGGTTCCAGCTGGGCTTCTCAGATGGTGAGAAAATCATTACAGCAGAGAAGGAAGGATAGTGGCTTTATAAAAGATGGCCTAATCTGGATATTGCAGGAATCTTTCCAAGTTTACAAAGCAGGTGTGAAGTTGCAGGTAATAATCAGACATTTTTCCCAACTTTCTGCACAGAATGTTGCCATTTCATTTGAGGTTGCCTGAAGAGCAACCCAGAACAGAGGCTTCATCTGGAGGAGATGCTGTTCCATGACTGGTTCAAGGTACTAAGTCTAAGATAAGCTAAAATGTATATATTATCATTAGGTCATTTGTTTATTTTTTTGCCTTTTTGTTGGTTTGGTTTGCTTCTCTCAATATGGACATCAGCTTCCTTTTATTATTCAATACCTGCTGCAACAATATAGTCAATGCTCACACATTCTGTTTCAGGTCCTCCTATAAGTCATGGAAAAGAGGGTCAGCCCTGCGTCTGGCGGGCTGACGCGAGTGGCCCCTCCATCCCTCCAGCCTTAGCGTCTTGCGGGGCTGGCAAGCCTTGGTTGCGTCTGGCGCCTTGGCTTGTGGCAGTAGTCTTTGCGTCTTGCGGAACTACTTGTCTGGGGATGTGTATATATTGTAAATATTTAGTTTAGTTGTAGATAGTTAAGTTAGACCTTCCATCCCTCCAGCCTTTGCGTCTTGCGGGACTGGCAAGTCTTGGTTGCGTCTGGCGCCTTGGCTTGAGGCGGTAGTTTTGGCGCCTTGTGGAACTACTCACCTAGGGATGTATACTGTAAATAGTTTTAGTTTTAGCTAGTTAAGCACTACACCATTCAATCATATTTTAATAATGGGGTCACTCAGAGCTGCCACTGGCCTCCAGGTCCCAGAGATCAGTGTCACCGATACATCAGAGGTTGCAATCATGGCCTCAGCCACAGAACTCTCTTTCTCAGCTGCCTTGGGCCCAGAGATCTTGCCAGGATGGCTTCAGAAATCCCTCTGAAGGCCACCAATAAAGGTTCTTGTCACTGCTGCTCCAGATCCTGCTGAGGCTCCACAGAGGTTGGAAGTCCCAGGATGCCCTTTTCATAGCTTCGCTGGTCCCACAGGTCCCTCACACTGATGCTCCTTCCTTCCATGAGCAACCGGGTCTCAAAAGATCCTGTCAGGGACACTCCAGAAGTCATAGCGAAGGCCACCCTAAGGGTTCCAGCTGTTGTTAAAGATGTCATGTAACAGGTCCCTGTCCCAGCCTGCTACAGCTCTGTGTCATAGCTGCTCCAGTCGCACCTGACATAACCAAGCAGTTCACACTGAAGCATGTCATGTCTGCCACAAAGGTTCCTCTCATGATGGTGCAGAGATTCATGCCACGCCTGCCAGAGAAATTGCAGCGAAGGCTGACCCAGTGTTTCCTGTCTTAGCCTCAGTCAAAGCTTGTGTCCACGGCTACTGCAGTCCCAGAGCTCCTCTCTCAACCTCACTGGTCCCAGAGGTTCCTGCTAATGCTCGGGGTTCTGTAACTTGTGTCCCACATTAAAAACACAATATGAAAATAAACACAAAATGTGAAAGAGGTTTATTTATTTATCACTTTGTATGTTAATTTGAATAATAAGCTCACCAGGTAAGTAATACCAGATAAGTAACTCAAAGGAGAGTTACACTTTGTGGCCCTTTGTTTACTGTTTGAAGGCCAAGGTATCAGCATGGAATTTGGCTGTAGGCAGGGTCTAAACAATAAAAATGGCCTTTGGACAGTCCAGCAGAATGAAGTCAGACCACATTGTTCACTTTTCTACCAGTCTTTCTACTATTCTGCTACATTGCTGCTATTTATTCCAGTTTTACACAACTCATTTGGGTGGATGTCTCAACTGTATGTAAATTCAAATAAAGTTTATTTTTACATAAACTGAGTCTGAGTTTATTAAGAAAACAAAATCTCTAAATGACAGAAATAGTCTGTCCAACCTTCAAGCTACTATTTTTACAAAACGTAAATTAATACTCACTGTACAATACAGTATAACAATATGCCTTCAGAATAAAGTGTTTGTTCTTTATGTCTATCGTAATACAACGCATTTATAAATGTATACGCATTTTAATTTTAGAGAAATGTAGATGAGAGAGAGAGAGAGAGAGAGAGACTGCAAGAAAACAACGGGCATCTTAAAGGGTTAGTTCAGCATTGTTTACGCTTAGGGGAAAGCGTGCGTATGCATTGTGATACTTTCTAAATTGGCGAACATTGCAGTTGCGTTGCTGTCCATGCAGAGCCTGAGAGCTCTCACATTTCATCAGAAAATATCTTAATTTGTGTTCAGAAGATGAACGAAGGTCTTACGGGTTAAGAACGACATGAGGGTGAGTAATTAATAACAGAATTTTCATTTTTGGGCGAACTATCCCTTTAAGGCTTAATTTGAATTAGATGGACCTTCATCAGCAAGTATACACAGGTGTAAAGGGGTGTTGGGCTGAATGTGACTGGACACATAGATTCTCTGATAAACATCTTGGAATATCTTCATCATCATATCTTCAAATTATAAACATCAGTAACACAGACAACATCAACATGGCTGTGAATGGCCTGAGGTACAAAACTAGCATAAAGCTTTTTACTCTTATGGATGCAAGGTCTGGGTTTATAAACCAAACCAAAACCTATGAGTACACTACAAAACAACGAAAATTAGGGCTGGACCCGCTAGTAATTGAAATATATATTTTTTTTAAATAATAAAAAGAGACGACCCTCCATCACAAAGTGAAGTGACAGAAGCCCCTCTCAGCCAACTATGTAATGATATAAATGTTCCAGTAGGTGTCACTAAAAAGCTTTGCAATTGTCATAGCACAAAACGGCAGTAGAGAAAGAGTAGAAGGAAGGAACACGTGAGTTTGTGATGTTGTCGATTGTGATTAACTAAAATACTTTGTGAAGGAATAGAATAAATTACAACTATACAGCTTTTTAGAATAAATATTTTCATTTACAAACAGGTCATTGGTTCATATTTAAGTTACAGGATGAGGAAAAACGCGACAACCTAACAGTTACTTCAGCTGATGTTATTGCATTGTACACATTAACCTTAAAGTAAGCGCTATTAAATGCATTATGTCAGAGTCCACGACCCCAGGAAAAAAGGGCAATTTGACCGGAAGTGCCAGAAAATTAAAGGACGACGCCGCAGACTGGCATAATCTCATTTTGAAATGGGAGCGATTAAATGACGAGGGATCCACGATTGCGACTAAAATAGTTAATCTGGGACTGAGCAAAAAGTAAGTTTTACCTGTCGATCAAACATAAATACTATAAATATAAATTATGTAAATAAATAATAATGTATAGTACAATTCTAATGCGTTTATATATCAATTTGTGTGTGTAAGCAATCTGCCTGCTCTTTTATACCTGTAACCTGTTTTCTCCATCCTGTCTGTTCACAGATCAGATTTTGAGCCTGATGTTGTGATGGAAGGAGGCAGGTTGGCAGCTGGAGACATTTCAGAGAACATGAAACGGAGCAACCAAGAGCTGGAGGAAGAATGTGTGAAGTTACAAGACGTTGTGGAGAAACTGGTAACGTTTTGCAGAACAAGCGTTAGCAATGCTTGATGTTTGTACATTTTATACAGTCTAAATTGTTTCGCCAAAGGCAAACATACTGTCAAAGATGGAGAAGATGGTCCATGCCGAACGCGGGATCTGTGAGTTAGAAGCGTTCCAGTATGGAGAGAAAGGAAGAGCAGCACCACTCTTTCACACGTGGTCCACACAACAGTTTGGTAAGAGCAAGAAATGCTCAACCATCATATACCAAACACCAAACTATCCCATTTTCTGTTAATGTTAATCTGTTCTTTGATCTGTATGTCCAAAGTTTACTTTCATAAAATTGGTTTAAATTCATATGTATTATGTATAAACTCATATGTATTCAACTTAATTAGTTCTAAATGATTATGAATACTAATTTTAGAATTTAGTATAAAGCAATCATCTGCATCCCCTGCCAATGTGACTCCTTAAAGGAATAGTTCTCTCAAAAATGAAAATCTTTGTGAATTTACTCACACGAATCCATCCCAAGATATAAATTAGATTCTTCATCATAACATATTTGAAGAAATTTGGCATTACATCACTGATCCTCTGAATAGGTGCCATCAGAACGAGTCTAAACAGCTGATAAATACACTTTTCTCTTTCACTTCACAAGATGTTAATTGATTGACTGGAGTCATGTGGATTATTCTGATGCTATTATTATTCTGATGGCACCCATTCACTCCAGAGGATCCATTGGTGAGCAAGTAATTCTACATTTCTCTCAATCTGTTCTGATGAAGAAAAAATCATTTGACCTTTGTCCTCTTCATGACAGTTGAAGTATCTTCCAAGCTTTACGAGTCATACAAGCAGGAGTTGGCGCTGAAGAAGACTATACTACAAGAATTGGCCCACACTGCTAATGCTGATCTTTCTATGGTCTACCTGTCGTCATGGCTGTATCAACCCTACATTGAGGACAGTGGAAAACTGCTACTAGAGAGTTTGCTATTGGAAACAGGTCACAGACCTTTGTGATTCAGTCTATGCATGAGGACTATGTAAACAAATTAAAAGCATATCATGACATGTATACAGCTTTGATTTAATCGGTTTAACCTTCAAATTTATTTCTCAAAAATATCCTATTTTTATACTGTATTACGTCCCTGTAAGCAGTCTGTACCATACAAAGTCTTAACTCCATAAACTCGCTCACAAAAGTTTTAATGTCATATTTGAACATGTCCCTTTGTATTAAAAATGCTGAGATGTTTCAAAAACACAGTAAACCAGATATTTTATAAAAAGTAATAAAATAGTGCAACAACTTTTCAAATGACTTTTGCACTAGACAAACTACTAAAGAACAGAAACAATTGAACATCTGAGGCTGCAGTCTAAGATTATAAGCACCTCAAGTCTTATCCGTTTGTTTTACAAATCGATGAGTGTTTTCTTACTGCTTGGAGTGGACAGTTGTCAAAACCGAAATGTCCCGTCTCAAAATACCATGTTTTTAGGTCAGACCTCTAGGGGTCAACTATTTTCAGCCTTAAGGGTTCATTTTCAAACAAACAAATGTCCAAAAGTGTTTGAATAAATAAAATCTCATGGGGTACCAATTTAAACTGCATTGTAACTACAGCCTGGTTTTCTAACAAAGGAACGGTTATGTACAGATTTCTCTGGATGGCCCACTAAGTGGACACAGTATCACAAAAATCTTACCGCAGCTTTTACTGAGCCTCGCTGGAGTCCATAACTTAGTTTTGGCAGATAGTATTTTCTTTTCTCCCATCTGTGCATGTTGTGAAAGATTCAGTTCCCAGAATGAAAAGCACTGCATTCCCTCCACGATTTAGTATTTCCCACCATCTCATCACTTTCCCCGTGAGACGTGTAACGTGCAGCTACATAGTCATGGACTCTGAAACCAATAGTTAAGATATGCTAACATAAGTGAACATTCTCTAAAATTGGAAATAATGACTTTTTTTGTATAAACAGAAAGAACACTAATATAATAATACTGTTTTTATACAAATTTACAAAGAATGCAATAAAAGTTCATTGAAAAAACACCATCTCTCAGACAGAACGTATGTATGGTGTGAATAATGGACAAAAACAGGAAGTGAAGATGTGACTCCATTAAGTCTTTCTTTCGGTTTCAATGCCCAGCAGGGCATGAACGGTCTCTAAAGGAACACCTTCAGGTGCCTCGATGTGCATCATGGTGCCATCGGGCCCATTGACAATGACAATGCCTTTGGCGGCTAACTCCTCTGCGCTCTGCATCACAAGCCCCTCTGCTGTCTGGAAAATAACTGAAGATTCTTGCTGCACCACCTGACTGGCCTCGGGATCTTCGAGAGCATCGGTCTGGCAACCTTGAACCTCTTGTTGAGCGGCTTCTTCTGAGTTCTTAATCTCCGAGTCTGTGTTTAGAGCTTGTTCCAGCTGTTCCATCTGATCCGCGATATCAACGATGACGCTACTGTTCAGAACCTTGGAGATCTCTGGATCTTCTGTGGTTTTTGTGGCATCAGAATCCGAAGAAGGCATTTCCGTCTCCATGGGCTCTTCCTCTGTCCTCTCCGGGATGGCATTTTCAGCACTCTGTGTAGCATCGTCGGTGGTTAGATCTACAGAAGTCAAGTTCTCCAGTCTGGTTAGCACCACCTGAGGCTTACGTAGAATAGAGCCATCAATACTCTCGTCCTTCTGGATGCCGTTTTGATTAACTTGATAGCCGTTGGTTTCTTCATTGCGGTTTTCTATTTTAAACCTTTTTGCAGGAGGCAGCATTTTGGCATTCTAAGAAAAACATGGAGAAAAAATATTATTACCATACAACTGTAAAATGTATGTTCACATAAAATTATGACAAGTAGCCCATAACAGCTCTAAGTGGAGTGGTGATAATATGGATGTAGGTAAATGAAAGGTTGCAGGTTCAAAACCCAAAAGCAGCACATCATTACAAAAATAAATAAAAGTGTCTACTAAATCAAGGGTGTGCAGAACACTTAAGAGAGTAATAAAAAAATAAGGCTGTCAAGGTTAACTTAAAATACGCAAAAGGTTGCGGTCAATAAGAAAAAAATAAATTAATACTTTTATTCAACAAGGACATATGAAATCGATCAAAAGTAACTGTAAAGATGCCAAAGAGTTAATATGTTACAAAAGATTTCCATTTCAAATAAATGCTGTCCTTTTGAACTTTCTATTCATCAAAGAATCTTGAAAAAAAAAAAAAAATGTATCAAAGCTTCCACAAAAATATCAAGCAGCACAACGGTTTTCAACATTGATTATAAGAGAAAATGTTTCTTGAGCAGCAAATCAGCATATTAGAATGATTTCTGAAAGATCATGTGACTTTGCCATCACATGAATAAATTGTACTAAAATAAAAAAAAAAAAAGACATTTAGCACAACTTTCATCATGTTTTTGAAATTATGCTTTCATAATGTTTTCATCATGTATTTGATATTAATACGGTTTCATTCTGATTTCTAAAGGCTGATCATAATCCATGAGAATAATCAAAATTATTTTATTCTATTAAAAGCCCTAGATTTTTATAGTAAGAAAAATAAAACACCTTTCTTTCACGTAAATTGTTATCTTACATTCATTACCCTAATACTGTTTATATAAAGATCTAAGTAAACTTAATACAAAGTAAATATTCTTTAAATAACATTTTAATAAATTACTTTAATACAAAGTCAAAATACAAGCTTTTGAATATTTATTCAATTATTATTTAAGACTATCAAAATTTGTCTTTGTACATGAAAATGTATAGCTGCCTTTAGATTTTACGAAGGGGGTTCATCACAAGAGCATCACATTTGGAGGTTCAGACAGAGCATCTAGTTACTAGACAGAATTAAATCATTCTGAAATTGCAGCGGAGCAATCTGTGATACTTGCATACAGGAGTCTACACTGGAATGATTTTTGCTCAGAACATACCTCAATACTCCGTAGGCTCTTTGTGGCCTGATTTGTCTTTTGACTTTGTTGTCCTTCAGAGGAAGTCAGGAGTTTTAGTGCATTGGGATCGGTTATACCCAGAGATTGTAAAACCTGAAATGACAGAAAATCTGTATGGTACTCGGGTTTGATCACAATGCTGCAGTGGCTAAATGTCTTGATATTACTTACTCCCATGTTGTTGACCTCTATAGCTGGCCGGGAGGCTGGTGAAGTGTGCAAATATTCCAGGGCCATCTTCTTCACCTGGCTGTGTAGTTGTTCAAATTCATGGTACACGCTCGGGAACTGTTGCTTTGACGGGTAGCCCTTTTCCACCTATATGGACAAGAACAGTGTAAGTGTGCATGAAATGCTTCCAACACACATAATCACATGGTATTTTACAGTGAGAAATGGACACGACTAGACAAAATTCAAAACTATATCCCATGCTTCCGAATATCTAAACATACCTTCATCAGCACAAACTCCCAGACAGTCATGACTCTGGCCAGACGTGGAAGAACGATCTCCATGAGATCTTCATCATCATACTGTTTAATAAACTGAAGAGAGATGAAAGAAATTTAGTAATTGCTGTTGGTAATAGTGATTTAATTAACTGTTCTGGTATTATTGCAGTAATGAGAATATTTACCATAACATTACAATATATTTTTGTAAAGATAGTAGAATAAAAGTTTTACTTTAATTGCTTAAACATAGTAAGTGATCTTCTGCCAGGGAGATAGTCAGGGATAGAAGATAAACAAGTTCAAATGGCTGAGCAGAAAACTATTTTAAAAAATATTTCATTTATTTTTAAAGGGTTTAAAAACGTCTTCATTCAACAATTTGTCTCCTCCGCGTCACAGTAGCGCCATTTTAGAGAGTATCCACTGAACGCAAACAGCGTATGCTATTCTGTGTCAGCTGCACCACACGGATATGTTGTTTTTGTTCAAATCAAAGCGTAAATAAACATAGAAAAAAACGTGTAATAGACGTGTACGTAGAATAAACGTGTTTGCGTTCAGTGGATACTCTCTAAAATGGTGCTAGGAGACGAATTGTTGAATAAAGTCTTTATTTTTGTTTTCTTTGCATACAAAAAGTATTCTCGTAGCTTCGTAAAATTACGGTTGAACCCCTGATGTCACATGGATTATTTTACCGATCTCCTTGCTACGTTTCTGGACCTTGATCGTGGTAATTACATTGCTGTCTATGGGAGGCTCAGAGAGCTCTCAGAATTCATCAATAATATCTTAATCTGTGTTCCGAAGATGAACGGAGGTCTTACGGGTTTGGAATGACACGAGGGTGAGTAATTAATGACAAACTTTTCATTTCAGGGTGGAGTAACCCTTTAATCTATTTGTCTCATTACAATTTATATAAAAATTGATTGTAAAAATACTTAAAACACTCAAAAATGTCAGTTCTAACTAGATACACAGTGGGATTTTAAATTGTCAGTCCACACAGAAAATCTGAGATTTGAAATCTAATATAAACCTGCAAATAAAAAAAAAGTTAACAGAATGTTTTTAAAGGGGTCATCTGATGCGATTTCAATTTTTCCTTTCTCTTTGGAGTGTTACAAGCTCTTGGTGCATAAAGAAGATCTGTAAAGTTAAACCAAAAAAATTCATAAATAAAGAAGAAACTTTTCAGATTTATCACCATTTCTATGTCACTTACTGAAAAAGCAAATTTGTGACACTGACCATGTCAATTAATTTGTCAAAATATTTATATACTGTATATATCAACCAAGGTTCAAGATCTCAAAATCATGCTGGAGAAAATGATCAGTTTAAATACAACCATGTGGAGCTCACAGTTTGTGTGCTATAAAACGAGTAAGTTTTAATACTCATTCTAATACTATGAGAATAGGATGCCCACACCACAACTATAACGATAATGACACAGATCACTTTTAGAACCATTTTATCCAACTCATGAACAATAAAAATTGACAGCCGATCAGAATCACACCTATAATAAACAGACCATTGGTGTGGACACTAACTATCATATTTGGTGTGAATGGTCCTTAAGACATTCTAAAAAAAAGTTAATCTTTATAATTCAACTTTTCATTCATTCAAATTGACAACATAATTTGTCAAGAGGGAAACTATTCAATTCAAAATGCTAAACAGAAACTTTTTTACAAGTGGACTTTTGAATCCCACTGAATCAACAAAAATTTTGAGAAT